AATTGTGTTCCCCCATAAACAGATGGATGGACTCTGTGACATAGATTTCAAATGGAAAAATTTGTGAAAAGGACACCGCTCTCATTCATATGCCCAAACTCATTGGTCCCATCCAAATAGCCAGGTGCCGGCCAACAGAGACACGCCACAGCCGTCACCAGTAATTTAATATACGTAAAGCCGTACTCAACAGCCAGGACCTGTAAAAAAGTTTATACCCAAGAATCTACAATGTTTTAAGCATGACAAGATCCACAGGCACATGTTATACCGAAAGAGGCTTAATCATATAGACTATGATTAATTACCATTACTATGGTAATGTCGATAAATGCAAAGTAATGCACTTTGGACATAAAAATAAACAAATAGGCTATACAATCATGGGTATGCCGCTAGGGAAGTCAGAAATAGAAAAAGATTTGGGGGTCATTGTAGACCACAAACTGAATGGTAGCTTGCAGTGCCAAGCTGCGGTAAACAAAGCTAGCAGGGTCTTGTCCTGTATTAAGAAGGGGATGTATTGCAGGGACAAGTCTATAATTGGGCCTCTATATAGATCGTTGGTTCGGCCACATCTGGAGTACGCGGTCCAGTTTTGGTCGCCGGTACTGAGAAGGGATGTCCTTGAACTGGAGAGAGTCCAGCAGAGGGCAAGACAACTAATTAGGGGAATGGAGGACCAGAGCTATGAGACAAGGCTTCTGACCTTAAACATGTTTACGCTGGAATTAAGGAGATTAAGGGGGGATATGATTTTCATGTACAAGATGTTCAATGGTGACAGCAACATTGGCAACAAACTGTTTGAGATTAACTCCATTACAAAGACTAGAGGCCACCAACTAAAATTGGTGGAGAAAAAATTCCAGCACAATGGGCGAAGAGGGTTCTTTACAGTAAGAGCGTTTAAGGTCTGGAACTCACTGCCATCGGCAGTGATTTCAGCCAAGAGTGTAGATTTGTTCAAGAAACGTTTGGACAATTTCTTGAGGGACCGTAATATCCAGGGATACCAGTATCCCTAAGAATGAGATGATGCGTGGACCTATATGGGTTGGACTTGATAGATGTATGTCTTTATTCAACCCCAAATACTATGTAACTATGTAATTATGATTAAGATATAGGGTGATTAACCCTCTCTATTTGTTCTATTAACCGTTGCTGAAAGTGAAATCCTAAATTGGTTGTCACCAGACGAGGAATGGATGGAAAACCTTCCAATGGTGACACTAGTTCTCTTGACCCTGCTGACCACCAAGGATTTCCCTCTCTTTGTTCGGATTTCCTCTCACTTCCTGTTGTGGTACTCTAAAAGAAAGTTTTGGATTTAGTTTGGCTTCAACCAAAGTAACAATTTAATAAACATAACAACTTAACATGGCAATCGTTCTAAGAGGAGGTCTGCTAGTGATGGGCTGAACACACCCGAGTTCGGTTCGAGTTTGAACTTTCGAACATGAAAAAAGTTCAAATTCGAACTTCGAACTCAATGCAAGTCTAAAAATCAAATGTCCCCATTTTGAAGGCATATATACAAGTTATTGGCCATAAAAAGGATATGGGTATTTGGGTACTGCCCTGGGGGACATGTATCAATGAAAAAAACACTTTTAAAAAATACAGTTTTTAATGGAGCAGTGATTTTAACATTGCTTAAAGTGAAACAATAAAAAACAAAAATTCCTTTAAATATTGTGCCTGGGGGGTCCCCTCAAACTGCCTGTAAAGTGGCACATCTGTACAATGTGTAGAACCTGCTGCAGCAAAAACTGACATTTATAAAAAAAAAAAAAGTGTGCGGTCCCCCCTCCCAAACAATACCAGAGCCTTTAGGTCTGGTAGGAAAGTTAGGAGGGACCCCATTTAAAAAAAAAAGAAAAAAAAGTGTGAAGTTCCCCCCAGCATAGCATAGACCCAGCACAGCCACCTGAGAGTCCGGACAGCCCAGCATACACCGCGCACAGCCATCTGAGAGTCTGTACAGCCACCCGAGAATCTGCACAGCCCACCATAGAACCTGCACAGCCACCTGAGAGTCCACACAGCTCACCATAGAACCTGCACAGCCACCTGAGAGTCCGCACTATTACACTAATTGGTAGGAGTGCACTGAAATTTCAGCCGCCGAAACATATCGGCCGAAAATGCCACTTTTGACAAAATGCCCAAAGTGCCATCTTTTGGCCGAAATAGCGGTGCATCCCTGCTTTCTCTCCTCCCAGCCGGGAGGAGAGTAATTCTCACAGGAGGCCAAGCGGTCCGGGGGAGGAGAGCACTGTGAGCGGCTGGCCTCTCTCCTCCCACACAGCTCAGCCTCCTGTGACAGTCCGAGAGAGCAGCGGGGTGGGACAGCTGATAGCTGTCTCCACCCCCACAACACCGCTCTCCTGATCTGTCACAGGAGGCAGGGCCGGCAGTGCAGGGGAGGAGTCAGATCGAGCTCTCCTCCCTGCACCGCTCGCTCAGCCTCCTATGACAGCCAGTCAGAATGGAGAGCGGGTACAAACACTGATCAGCGATCGCTGAGTGTTTGTAAATAATTGAGAACAGAGTATGTTTACTGTGTCCCCAATTTTGAATGAAATGGAACTTCCTGTTCATTCTTAATTGTGGACATGGTAAACATACCATGTCTCTAACAACCTGCTTGGAAGCCAGTGAATGAATTGCATATACTGGGTGTAATACTAGAGTGTAGTCACAGAATGCACCTCTAGATGTAGCTATGTAGTAAATATCTGTAACTATTTATAAGGATACATCTACATACACATTGCTGTGATTATCTTTAGAATAGTGCTAATATGCAGCTCCTTGTTCTGGCCGAAGGGCGTGATAGTGTTGAGAGTATTAAAAGTTTCTGGTTGCACCACTTCTGATATCCCTGAAGAAAGACTCTCAGTGGTGGAAACCTTCACTTCCATTGCAGTTACTATTATATTTCAATGAGAAATGTCTCGTGCGTAGGTGTGTGCAGCCTATTGCATTAGGGTGTGCACTCAAAAGGGGTTGTGTGGACCGTGCGTTAATCACACAAAACTGTACAATTAACACATGGCCCTAGACTTGGTCAGGTGGCACATATCAGACACATACAGTACATGCAGCAAAAATGATGAATGATTTTGTAATCAATATGCATCAGCTCCAGCTTTTATATAGTACTATAGTCTGGACCCAAGCAGCAGAAGAAGGCAGCCTGCAGGTACAGCAATACATTGCATAAAACATAGAATAGTAGAAATATAAACAGTTCGCTACAGTACACTGGTGCCAGCCCTTTATGGGAGAGGGGTGGGGAGGGAAAAAAGTCAGCTGTCACCATGGGTTGGTGAACTTTTGCTGACCCATGGAAAAGTGACCCCTTCAAGTGGCGCCCAGGGCATCTGCCATGACTTGGATATGCCACTGCTGCAGGTACACTGTTGTGGAGTGTTATTGTGATAGGAAATCTCCGTTGGCTGCGGCGTCTCAGTATACCGCGAGCTCTAGCTCGCGGTATACTGAGCTTAGGGTAACGGGAGGACGCTAGTTTGTGTCCTCCCGTTACCCTAAGGAGAACTATGGGGAAAAGCCCTGACCCCATAGTTCTCCTTTTAAGCAAAAAAATCAACTGCATTCAGTAGGCTGCATACTGCTGTCTCCTGAACATAAGGCAACAGCATCCTCTGTCCTTTAAAAAGTGATATGATACAGATCGCTGGTTGTAGCTGCAAACACTGTGACCCTGGTAGTTCTGCCACTGACTCCAAGCTGCCACTGACTCCAAACACATTATACAGCAATGTGGAATATCATCAGCTATAAAGGACTACAAATCACAGCAATACATTATGCAGCAATGCAGAATGGCACTGGCTATGGAGGACTACAAATCCCAGCAACACATTATACAGCAGTGCAGAATAATAGTTTATGAATTTGCTGCATACTCTGTGCTGCCTTTCACGCACCTGGTGTGAGACCGGATGGAGGAGGTGGAGTCCCTTGCGTCCCGCGTCCAATTTCCGTGGATATGAGGACAGGGAAAGGTGGACACAAGGTAGCACTGGTGCTTGGATGGTAGGAGACCAGATGCAAGCGGGGTACCGGAGCAGAAGACAGAAGCTGGGTCGGGGTCACAAGCCGGAGTCAAGTCAATCAGGAGCAGCAGTGCAAGATCAGGATCCAAAAGCAGGGTCAGGAACTAGCAGAGGTCAAAGCCGGGAATCAAGCGGGTACAATCAGCAGGCAGAAGAATGATCAAGGCAAGCTGGGTCAAATAAACAGAAGATAACAGGATTACAAGAACTGCAGACACAGGAATAGTCTAGGATCAATCAGCAATGGATGTGCGCCAAGGGTTTGTTTAAATAGGGCTTCAAGACGTCACTTACTGTGCGCACTTTCCTTTCCTGAGAACAGGTTTTCTGGACATGCGCATAGTGGCACACTGCCACCCTGCTCCAGGGTGCCAACCTGATGTCTCGGGCAGAGGATCTCAGGAGGGATGCGGAGGATCTTAGGAGGGGGAGATATGTGGGCCAGTGGAAGCGTTGTAAACAGGTGCTACATGGTTCCCAGCAATTGCGGGACCTATGGCAGCCACTTCAATTTGATAATTTAAAGCGCTGGTACTGTTTGTTTGTATTGAGGCATTTTCAGGATTAGGACTATTCGTGAAAATGCCCAGTATCTGCACCAATACCAATACTGGTATCAGTGCATCCCTAATTACAATGTGTATTTGTATCACTGATTCACAGTTTAATGTGACTTACCCTCTGGACTGGACCTCACTGGACTTTGGACTCAGAGATCTAATATGCACTGGACTCGGGGCTCTGCTAGGCACTTGACTCAAGGCTCTGCTAGGCACTTGACTCAGGGCTCTGCTACGCACTGGACTCAGGGCTCTGCTACGCACTGAACTCATGGCTCTGCTATGCACTGGACTCAGGGCTCTGCTACGCACTGGACTCAGGGCTCTGCTACGCACTGGGCTCAGGGCTCTGCTACGCACTGGACTCAGGCCTCTGCAAGATACTGGACTCGGGGCTCTGCAAGGCACGGGACTCGGGGCTCTGCAAGGCACTGGACTCGGTGCTCTGCAAGGCACTGGACTCGGGGCTCTGCAAGGCACCGAACTCGGGGCTCTAATACGCCCTGGACTTGGGGCTGTGATACACACTGGACTCAGGGCTCTGCAATTCACTTGACTTGGGGATCTGCAATGCACTGGACTCAGGGCTCTGCTACGCACTGGACTCTGGTCTCTGCTACACGCTGGAATCAGGGGACATTTGGGATGGTTTAAAAGAAAACAGTCACTGGTTCCTCTTGCACCCCCCTTCCAATACTGGCTCTGAGGAGGGAGGAGGAGAGAGAAAGAGAGAGACC